TAGACTGTAAACTCTCCTTCTAGACTCACATTAAGCATCTCCAATCACAATTAGATCTAGAATCGGCTTCCTATTTCGCAACAAAGCCTCCTTCACTCATGCTGCCAAACATGCCCTCGTAAAACTGACTATCCTACCGATCCTTGACATCGGCGATGTAATTTACAAAATAGCCTCCAACACTCTACTCAGCAAATTGGATGTAGTCTATCACAGTGCCATCCGTTTTGTCACCAAAGCCCATATACTACCCACCATTGTGACCTGTACCCTCTTGTTGGCTGGCCCTCACTACATATTCGTCGCCAAACCCACTGGCTCCAGGTCATCTATAAATCACTGCTAGGCAAATCCCCGTCTTATCTTAGCTCAATGGTCACCATAGCAACACCCACCCGTAGTCTGCGCTCCAGCAGGTATATCTCACTGGTCATCCCCAAAGCTAACACCTCCTTTGGCCACCATTCCTTCCAGTTCTCTGCTGCCAATGACTGGAATGAACTGCAAAGATCTCTGAAGCTGGAGACTCTTATCTCCCTCACTAACTTTAAGCGTCAGTTGTCAGAGCAGCTTACCGATCACTGCACCTGTACACAGCCATTCTGAAATTAGCCCACCCAACTACCTCATTCCCATATTGTTATTTATTTTGCTAATTTGCACCCCAGTATCTCTATTTGCACATGATCTTTTGCACATCTATCATTCCAATGTTAATACGAAATTGTAACTATTTTGCACTATGGCCTATTTATTGCCTTACCTCCATAACTTACTACATTCGCACACACTGTATATATATTTTCTGTTGTATTTTTGACTTTATGTTTCGTTTACCCCATATGTAACTCTGTGTTGTTGTTTTTATCACACTGCTTTGCTTTATCTTGGCCAGGTCGCAGTTGTAAATGAGAACTTGTTCTCAACTGGCTTACCTGGTTAAATAAAGGTGGAAAAAAATGGTATGTGGTGAAATAAGTTTAGCCACGTATAATTGTAATGGCTTAGCAGATAATAACAAAAGAAGAACAATATTTACATGGCTGAAAGAGAAGGAATATAATATATATTGTTTACAGGAAACTCATTCAACAATTCTAGATGAAGTTGCATGGAAAAAGGAATGGGGGGGTGAAATATACTTCTCCCATGAGCAAAGAAACTCAAAAGGGGTGATGATATTAATTAACAGTAATTTCGATCCGAATGTGCAAATTGTCCAAACAGATACGCAAGGTAGATGGATTATTTTAAATATCCCTCCACAGCCTTGAATCCCTCCACAGATTGCATAGAGGATCTAGATACATTTTCTAACCTCTCTGGATTACAAAAAAAGTATGATAAATGTACTATATTACGTATTGGATCATAAAAATAAAAAAAAGTACATTCCCATGTAGTTTACCAATACAATGGTCTGATGGTGATGTGGATATACTCGGAATACATATCCCAAATGAAATAAATGATCTCACTCGAATACATTTGAATAGAAAGTTAGCAAAAATAGAAAAGATCTTGCTACCATGGAAAGGTAAATACCTGTTAATTTGTGGAAAAATCACCATAATTAACTCTTTAGTATTATCCCAGTTTATCTATTTGCTTATGGTCTTGCCTACGCCTAGCGAACAGTTTTTAAAATTAAATGAGAAAAAATATTCAATTTTATTTGGAAAGGCAAGCCAGACAAAATTAAACGGGCCTATTTATATAATGAATATGAATTTGGAAGACAGATATGATTAAATATTAAAGCATTAGACCTATCACTAAAAGCTTCAGTCATACAAAAGTTATACTTAAATCAATCCGAACTGGTTCTCTAGCAAATTAGTAAGATTGTCTCACCCAATGTTCAAGAATGGCCCTTTTCCCTTTATTCAGATTACAACCTCTCACTTTCAGGTATTTGAAAAGGAAAAAATCTCCCAAATATCACTATTTCTAAAACAAGTCATTGAAAGTTGGTTGCAATTTCAATTTAATCCTCCAGAAACGACAGAACAAATAATGCAACAAATATTGTGGTGAAACTGAAATATACAAATTGATAAAAAAAACATTATTTTTTGACAAAATGTTTAAAAAAGGTATAATCTTCGTAAATGATATCATAGGTAGGACTGGTGGAGTTCTGTCGCACATGCAGCTAACAAAAACATATGGAAATGTCTGCTCTACCCAAAATTACAACCAAATAATTGCAGCATTACCGCAATAATGGAAGAGGAAAGTGGAAGGGGGAAAAAGTAAGGAACTTGTCTGTTGGCCCTGCATTAAAGAACATAATTGGTTAAAGAAAATTGTGATAAATAAAAAAGTATACCAGTTTCATTTAAGGACCAAAGGATTGACAGCCGTCCCACATAGATTGCAAAATAGTTGGGAAGAGATTTTTGACATACCGATTCCATGGCATATAGTTTATGAACTGAAACGCAAAATGACGCCGGATTCAAAACTTAGATTTTTCAATTTAAATTATTATACAAAATTCTTGCTACCAATAGAATGTTATTTATGTGGGGGATACAATCTTCCCAACTCTGCAGATTTTGCTGCAAAGAGAAAGAATCATTAGATAATTTGTTTTGGTACTGTCCATTTGTAGCTTGTTTTTGGACACAGGTCCAGGAATGATTAAAGGATTGCAATATTTACCTGGAGCAAACCCTGCAGATAGCAATACTGGGTGATCTGAAAAGTCATAGTCAATCGATCAATAATATAATAATACTTTTAGCAAAAATGTTTATTTTCAATTTACAATCTGTAGAAACAATGAGAATAGAAAGGTTCAGAACTTTTGTAAAACATCACAGTACAGTTTAAAAAATATATGGCAAATGGAAATCCAATATGGATGGTGTTAAGAGATAGATTGGTGGTGTTGAATGAAGTTGAAGGATGGGACTAATAACAACTAACAACAACTAATAACAACAAGATAACTAATGTAAAGCGTACTGTGTCCATAATAAGTATATAGGATATAGGTTGAGAGCTTTTGTGAAAGAGCACAGTTAAAAAGATACGGCATATAGAAGCAAACCGGATGGACATCATGAAAATGATCGAAGAGGTTGCAGGTAGAGGAAGTTCAGGAGTAAAAACAAAATTGACTGTGTCCATAAAATGTATATAGTATGTATAAGCTGGAATTAGAGGCCTAAGCATTGTTGTTCACTAGTTTACTCCAATTAGGGAAGTTGGTGGGGTTGGAAAGTAATATATATATATTTTTAAAGGATATGAATATGTGTATGTATGTGTATTTATATGTATATATGTATGTATGTATATATGTATGTATGTATATATATATACATATATATATATATATATACATATATATATTTGCGAGAAAAAAAAACATATGGGGGATTGGAAGTGATGCAGACAATTACATTGATGGAAGTTACAATCTATCTGCAATATTAAAGCTGATCTACCCCCTAAAAAAAAGAAAAAAGAAAAACCCTTGAATGAGTAGGTGTGTCCAAACATTTGACTGGTACTGTATACACAGTGCATTCGGAAAGTATTCAGACCCCTTCACTTTTTCCACATTTTGTTACGTTACTGCCTTATTCTAAAATGGATAAAATATTATTTTTCTTCATCAAACTACACAGAATAACCCATAATGACAAAGCAAAAACAGGTTGAAATTTATGCACATCTATAAAAAATAAAAAAACGGAAATATCATATTTACATAAGTATTCAGACCCTTTACTCATTACATTGTTGAAGCACCTTTGGCAGCGATTACAGCCTCAAGTCTTCTTGGGTATGATGCTACAAGCTTGGCACACCTGTACTTGGGGAGTTTCTCCCATTCTTCTCTGCAGATCCTCTCAAGTTTTGTCAAGTTGGATGGAGAGCGTCGCTGCACAGCTATTTTCAGGTCTCTCCAGAGATGTTCAATCGGGTTCAAATCCAGGCTCTGGCAGGGCCACTAAAGGATATTCAGAGACTTGTCCCGAAGCCATTCCTGTGTTGTCTTGGCAAAGTGCTTAGGGTCGTTGTCCTGTTGGAAGGTGAACCTTCACCCCAGTCTGAGGACGTTCTGGAGCAGGTTTTCATCAAGGATATCTCTGTATTTTGCTCCGTTCAACTTTTCAGTGATCCTGACTATTCTCCCAGTCCCTCCCACTAAATAACATCCCCACAGCAGTATGCTTCACCGTAGGGATGGTGCCAGGTTTCCTCTACACGTGACGCTTGGCATTCAGGCCAAAGAGTTCAATCTTGGTTTCATGAGACCAGAGAATCTTGTTTCTCATGGTATGAAACTCCAAGCGGGTTCTTGGTCACCTCCCTGATCAAGACCCTTCTCCCCCGATTGCTCAGTTTGGCTGGGTGGCCAGCTCTAGGAAGAGTCTTGGTGGTTCCAAACTTCTTCCATTTAAGAATGATGGAGGCCACTGAGTTCTTGGGAACCTAAAATGTTTCAGAAAAATGTTGCTTCCCTTCCCCAGATCTGTGCCTCGACACTATCCTGTCTCGGAGCTCTACGGACAATTCCTTCGACCTCATGGATTGGTTTTTGCTCTGACATACACTGTCAACTGTTCGACCTGATATAGACAGGTGTGTGCCTTTCCAAATCATGTCCAATCAATTGAATTTACCACAGGTGGACTCCAATCAAGTTGTAGAAACATCTCAAGAATGATCAATGGAAACAGAATCCACCTGAGCTCAATTTCGAGTCTCATAGCAAAGGGTCTGAATACTTATGTAAATAAGGTATTTCTGTTTTATATTTTTTTATACATTTTCAAAAATTTATAAAAACCTGTTTTCCCTTTGTCATTATGGAGTATTGTGTGTTGATTGATTAGGACAATTTTTTATTTAATTCATTTTAGAATAAGGCTGTATCGTAATAAAATGTGGAAAAAGTCAAGTGGTCTGAATACTTTCCGAATGCACCTTATATCTGTCTCTCTCTGACAATACATCTCTGAGGTAACATTTAGGAGGAGATGAAGAGGAGGTATTAAACTCTGTGCTGTTCTAATTTGTTTCTCTCTAATAGTCTCTCCTTCCCTATTTGCCTCTTTCAGTTACAAATAATTGCAGAGAAGGTATTGTATATAGAGTGACCTAGTGGAATGAGACAACCAAAAAATCACAAAACTCTTGGTCCTAACTATGACATAGAATATCTGTATTTTGGCCAACTCTTTTTAAGCACTTCTTAACCTCTCTTCAACCCAACAGATGTTAAAGTGACACTGAACTCAATTTCTGGGTTTAGTGTGTATGAGGGTGATGATCTCACAATAGATTGTACCCATAACCTGCCGGTGGGACTTCGCAACCTGCTGGTGTTTGTCTGGCTGAAGGATAACCACTGTCTGGAGGGCGAGAACAATAGCAACCTCACCTTGAAAAGAGTAGTAACAAAAACCAACGGGATATACGTCTGCACCATCCAGAGTCCCTGTGGCAACTTCACCTCAGATTCAAGGGAGATTAAAGTTGAAGGTTGACATATTCGCCAGTCATATTTGAGACTTTAATATTTGCACTGTTTATACTTGTGATTGGATGTGGAGCTGTCAAGATATTGCTTTCAGTCTTACTACTCAGCAAATGAGCCTATTGTGTGAAAAGGAAACATTTTAAAATGTCCAACCAATTCCTGGGGACCTCCGTCCCTCTGTGCTTTCCCTCTGTGCTGTCTCCATGTCTGTCCCTCTGTGCCGTCTCCATGTCTGTCCCTCTGTGCTGTCTCCATGTGTGTCAGAACTGACGGTGGTGATCTTAGTGATCTGTGGTGTGTCTGTCTCCATGTGTGTCAGAACTGACGGTGGTGATCATAGTGATCTGTGGTGTGTCTGTCTCCATGTGTGTCAGAACTGACGGTGGTGATCTTAGTGATCTGTGGTGTGTCTGTCTCCATGTGTGTCAGAACTGACGGTGGTGATCTTAGTGATCTGTGGTGTGTCTGTCTCCATGTGTGTCAGAACTGACGGTGGTGATCATAGTGATCTGTGGTGTGTCTGTCTCCATGTGTGTCAGAACTGACGGTGGTGATCATAGTGATCTGTGGTGTGTCTGTCTCCATGTGTGTCAGAACTGACGGTGGTGATCTTAGTGATCTGTGGTGTGTCTGTCTCCATGTGTGTCAGAACTGACGGTGGTGATCATAGTGATCTGTGGTGTGTCTGTCTCCATGTGTGTCAGAACTGACGGTGGTGATCTTAGTGATCTGTGGTGTGTCTGTCTCCATGTGTGTCAGAACTGACGGTGGTGATCATAGTGATCTGTGGTGTGTCTGTCTCCATGTGTGTCAGAACTGACGGTGGTGATCATAGTGATCTGTGGTGTGTCTGTCTCCATGTGTGTCAGAACTGATGGTGGTGATCTTAGTGATCTGTGGTGTGTCTGTCTCCATGTGTGTCAGAACTGACGGTGGTGATCATAGTGATCTGTGGTGTGTCTGTCTCCATGTGTGTCAGAACTGACGGTGGTGATCATAGTGATCTGTGGTGTGTCTGTCTCCATGTGTGTCAGAACTGACGGTGGTGATCATAGTGATCTGTGGTGTGTCTGTCTCCATGTGTGTCAGAACTGACGGTGGTGATCTTAGTGATCTGTGGTGTGTCTGTCTCCATGTGTGTCAGAACTGACGGTGGTGATCATAGTGATCTGTGGTGTGTCTGTCTCCATGTGTGTCAGAACTGACGGTGGTGATCATAGTGATCTGTGGTGTGTCTGTCTCCATGTGTGTCAGAACTGACGGTGGTGATCATAGTGATCTGCTGTGTGTCTGTCTCCATGTGTGTCAGACTTGACGATGCTGACCATAGTGATCTGTGGTGTGTCTGCTGTGGTGCTGATCCTGGTCCTGGGTATAGGCATGAAGATCATGCTGAAGAAGGAATTTGGTGAGTGATCACAACAAGAGAAACAAAGAATAAAACAACAGTAAATGTGTAACTTTGCATGTGACTCTCTTGTCTCTCTCCCCATCTTTCTATCTTTCTCTCTTTCTCGCTCTACAGCGAAGACCAAGAACAGGAGGCAGCAGAATGCTCAGAACCTACAGAGCACCACCACAACAGAGTAGCGTTTCATTTTCATTTTCCCAAAAATCCACCAATTGTCCTTCACGAGAAAATTGCAAAAATATGTCATGATTACACTGTAAATGGAGAAATATGTATCTAACGGTGATAGTGATATGACATGATAGTCAGCAATTACATTTATAGAAGCCATGCATGTAGGCTAAGTGATGTTTTCTAATGGGTACGTTATGTAGAGTAGCCTAAAAATAGTAGGCTGCTAGAGTTGTGATGACTTGAATCATGAATGAAGCAAGAGAGTTGTCCGGTTCCAGCAGCTATCCCCACTTCACATTAGTGCAGCATAGAAATTATATATTACCCGTCCCGAGTAGCCATAATTGTTTATCTCTGCCATCTGGAAGGAGCTTGGTCGTGAAATCTCTGGATACCGGTTATCGGTATTAAACCCTCTTTGGCTACTGACCAGACAAACATACCTACCCATTCAGTTTCCACTTGTTTATGCAGCTGTATCTAATAGACTGTACCTTGAACCGAAAAGCAAATGGAAGTCCTCACACAAAGTCTGCAAAAAACATTACAGTGAATACTGTCATGTTTACTGTAGTATTTACTATAGTGGAAGAAAACTGTCATATACTGTAATATTTACTGTAGTGTTTTGCGGATTGTAGTATACTGTAGTATTTACTATAATGTTTTTGTTTTCGTTTCTTTGACTTAGAGTTGGAGGCTATCTCCTTCAGTAAACCTTCCAAAGAAAAATGTCCATGACCTGTAGGTAGGTAGGTAGGTAGGTAGGTAGGTTGGTAGGTAGGTAGGTAGGTAGGACTGGGGTCTGAACGAATAGTTCAGAGCTTCTGCTCTTTTCTATAACCTGTAGGAAACACAATATATGGTCTATACTTGGCATGTAGGTTTCTCACTTATGGGTGTTACAAATTTGCTATATGGGGAGGGGAATCGGTAGGGTATATGCAAATAAGATACCGTAGTATTTACTATAGTTAAAAGTGTAGTGTTTTTGTGGACATTACTGTAGTATTTACTACAGTGATTTTTCTGGATAATACTGTAGTATTTACTGTAGTATTTTACAGTATACTACAACATTCTGTAGTAAGTACTACACATGATCGAGGGGTACTACAGTATATAGTATAGTATTCTACAATATGCCACAGTTTACTATAGAATTCTATAATAATCACTGTATTCTATAGTAAATTGTAGTATTTTTTAATGTGGGATGAACCTGGATATTTCTTTGTCCCATCCCATACTTTCAAAAAGGAATAGCAATGTTTTTTGTTGTGGTTGCAGCCTAAATGTATTCAATTCCAACCTACTTTATTTTCTCCCTCCACAGCTATCTCTAATAATAATATATGTGTTTGTTCCATCATTGTAGTATGGACTGTGAGAAATTGCATTCAATTTAATAAATAAGTAAAGATTTGAAATTATGACTATCAGAGTTTTCTAAGTAAATATATTTCTGTGCGTGCGTGTGTGTGTGTGTGTGTGTGTGTGTGTGTGTGTGTGCGTGTGTGTCCGTGCATGTGTGCACTCACGCGTGTGTATGTGTAAGAGGCCTGGCCAGGACAGGACTGCTCTATTCTGTAACCTGGCAATGGGCTCTTAGCAACCAGATTAGCCACTCCCACTGCATCCCATCTCCATTCAATTGAGGAAAAGAACCAGGAAATGCTGTAATCCATGCATAGCTCTGGCCTACTCCATGTAATCCCACTGACTGCTTGCAGAGACACACAGACACAGCTCAGACCACTGCTCTCACACATAGTGAAACACTGAGTCACACCTCGTGATGAAGAGTTTGAGAGTAGACAGGATGATGAAGCAGGAAGAAGATGTGGGGAGTTTGTGTGTGTGTGTGTGTGTGTGTGTGTGTGTGTGTGTGTGTAGGAACAGAGGGAACAATGGCTATGTGTTTGCAGTACCATATGGTAGGGTCAGGCTTGATTTTGAAGTGTGTGTGTGTGTGTGTGTGTGTGTGTGTGTGTGTGTGTGTGTGTGTGTGTGTGTGTGTGTGTGTGTGTGTGTGTGTGTGTGTGTGTGTGTGTGGCGGAGAGTCAGTAAGGCTGTTTCTTCAGTTTAGCAGGTGGTTTAGAGATAATCCAGGGGAGGGAGAGGGGGTTGGAGGTGAATGTGGACAGAAGACGAGGGCTAATTCTGGCCTCTTAATCCTAGTCGCATCTCCCTACCCCTCTCCCTCCCCATCCCCCTCCCCCTCCACCTCCCCTTCCCCCTCCCCCTCGTCCCCTTTCCTCTTCGCTAACCCACTAGTGGAGAGCAAGCTAATGTAGGGAGACAACTCACCGACTGTCAAACACACACACACACACACACACACTCAAGCATACACACACATACACACAAGGTTTTTTTAAGAGGAAGGAGGAGGTGAATGCAGGTGCCTTGTTTTCACCCTAACTAACAGGTGACCTGTCCTGGATAGAAGCTAGCTTACCAGTTGGGTTTAGCAGAGAATGCAGCTGCAGCCTTTGGGCTACGCCACACAACACACTCAACCATGGGAGAAGCTACAAAGGTATGTGGCCTAATATTGAGGCTCCTATGGCTTGTACTTTATTAGTGTGACCAATGAGGAGATGATTGAGACATATATGGCTTGTCCTATATTAGTGTGACCAATGAGGAGATGATTGAGACATATATGGCTTGTCCTATATTAGTGTGACCAATGAAGAGATGATTGAGGCTTCTATGGCTCGTCCTATATTAGCGTGACCAATGAGGAGATGATTGAGGCTTCTATGGCTCGTCCTGTGAGGAGATGATTGAGGCTTCTATTGCTCGTCCTATATTAGCGTGACCAATGAGGAGATGATTGAGGCTTCCATGGCTCGTCCTATATTAGTGTGACCAATGAGGAGATGATTGAGGCTTATATGGCTCGTCCTATATTGGTGTGACCAATGAGGAGATGATTGAGGCTTCTATGGCTCATCCTGTATTAGTGTGACCAATGAGAAGATGATTGAGACTTCTATAGCTCGTCCTATATTAGTGTGACCAATGAGAAGATGATTGAGACTTCTATAGCTCGCCCTATATTAGTGTGACCAATGAGGAGATTATTGAGGGTTCTATGGCTCGTCCTTTATTAGTTTGAACAAGAGAGAGAGAGAGAGAGAGAGAGAGAGAGAGAGACTTACTAAGGTTCTAAACAGACAGTTAGTGTGAGTCATAACAAGGTGTTTATTATTCTCCTGGTTGTCTCATAAAACACAAAGCATGTCATTAATGGAATGGAAATTATCAGAATGGAAATTAGGCCAGTCATTCCCTCTCTCCATGTACTTCCTGTTTCCTCCTGATGATGATGATGATGTAAATGATGTGGGACATACTCTACATGGGGCCACTAAAAAGGGCCTATTAGGACCTACCCGAGAGATCAGAATGGACCTCCCCTCTGGGAATAAAACCTGCTGCTAGTCAGCTACCAATCAGATGGGTGGATGGATGGATGGATAGGGATGGATGGATGGATGGATGGGGATGGATGGATGGATGGGGATTGATGGACGGATGGATGGATGGGAATGGATGGATGGATGGATGGATGTGGATGGATGGATAGATGTGGATGGATGGGGATGGGGATGGGGATGGGGATGGGGATGGGGATGGGGATGGGGATGGGGATGGGGATGGGGATGGATGGTTGGATGGATGGATGGGGATGGATGGATGGGGATGGGGATGGGGATGGGGATGGGATGGGATGGGGGACTGTTGGATGGGGATGGATGGATGGGGATGGGGATGGATGGTTGGATGGATGGATGGGATGGTGGATGGATGGTGTGGATGGATGGATAGATGTGGATGGATGGTGATGGGGATGGGGATGGGGATGGATGGTTGGATGGATGGATGGATGGGGATGGGGATGGATGGTTGGATGGATGGATGGGGATGGATGGATACCTTTCATGAAGAACCTTGAAATTGCTATGGTCACAAGTTGTCTAGACTTATAGCGTCACTAAGGCCTGATAGCCATAGTCAAGCGTATTGGGATTGTTATGGTAAATGAACTATAGTGTCAAGCAGTAATGAAATGAATGGAATTTTACTGAACTGAATGTGTTGGTCAGAGCTTGCTCTCGGTCCTTCAGAAGTTGAAGGGGACCACAGAGAGTGTGGAGCTGAGGATAATCCTACTGGGTCTGGATAACGCAGGAAGGACCACCCTATTAAAGAGTCTCGCCTCAGAAGACATCAACACTATCACACCCACACAGGTCAGAGAGTATACACACACACTCTCTCTCTCCTCTCTCTTCTCTCTCTCTCTATCTACTCATCCTCTCTATCTTTATCTCCTCTCTCTCTATCTCTCTCTCTCACCTCTCTCTCTATCCTCTATCTCTCTCTCTCTCTCTCTCTCTCTCTCTCTCTCTCTCTCTCTCTCTCTCTCTCTCTCTCTCTTCTCTCTCTCTCTCTCTCTCTCTGTCTTTATCTTTCTCTCACAGCACGTAAGACACCATGAAATTCACCAATGCAGCTATAGCATTACACCACACTATCAACTCAGGTGACGGAACAAAACAACAAATGACTTTGACACAGACAATGGAGAACCACTCCAATGCTGCCTTAGTGGGTTTTCACTCCTCCCTTGTACTTGATTGATGATTTAAGGTCACCGATTAGTAAGGAACTCCCCTCACCTGGTTGTCTAGGTCTTAATTGAATGGAAAAACAAGTAGACACTAGGCCCTCCATGGAATGAGTTTGACACCCCTGTCCTAGGTTCATAGGTAAATCCTTAACTGTAAGTCTTGAGTATCATTCCTTGTTGTTCTGACATCACAGTGATGAGTGTTGGGCTTGACTTGACTTAATCCTTTTAGCTCCTAGAGGGCCTCAACAACAGCTCTCTATCTCCTAGAAGGGTAGAGGGCCTCAACAACAGCTCTCTATCTCCTAGAAGGGTAGAGGGCCTCAACAACAGCTCTCTATTGAAAGGCCCAGACATTATGTACTAACCCATGGTTTGTGTTTGAACCCAGGGCTTTAACATAAAGAGCGTGGCCTCACATGGAATGAAGCTGAACGTATGGGACATCGGAGGACAGAGGAAGATCCTTCTGGAAAAAATACCTCGAAAACACAGACTTACTGGTGAGTACCTAACAGGGTCATTCAGATCCACTGCAGTATAGCAACCATTCTGTCTTATGATCCTCATGTTGAGATAGTAACTCATTACTGTATTACTGAGATGGTAGCTCATTACTGTATTACTGAGATGGTAATTAATTACTGTATTACTGAGATGGTAATTAATTACTGTATTACTGAGATGGTAGCTCATTACTGTATTACTGAGATGGTAATTCATTACTGTATTAATGAGATGGTAATTAGTTACTGTATTACTGAGATGGTAGCTCATTACTGTATTACTGAGATGGTAATTCATTACTGTATTACTGAGATGGTAGCTCATTACTGTAAGGAGAACAGCCATTCCCAACAATCCCATGATATAAATGTTGTGGGCCTAGAGGATGATTATTGCATGTAGTAAATATGTCATGGCTATGGTGAAATGATACTTTTGGATAACTATGTGGATGTTTCTGGTTCATTATTTTCATCTTCCAGATCTATGTCATAGACA